TGTGTGTGTGTGTGTGTGTGTGTGTGTGTGTGTGTGTGTGTGTGTGTGTGTGTGTGTGTGTCTTTGGGACGCGCTCGTGCACCATGCAGGCTGAGTGCAGCAGTATAGGGGCTACCAACTTGCTGCACTCAATGGCATAGGAGTGTCACTATCTGGGCTGGGTGTGCTGCTATGCAGGTTGGGTGGGTGTATTAATTATAATGAAGAGAGAAAGGGAAGATACGAGTGGGATGGAATGATGGTGAGATGACAGGGAGTTTACTCTGACAATCTATGTTCTTCTTCTTCTTCTTCTTCTTCTTCTTCTTCTTCTTCTTCTTCTTCTTCTTCTTCTCAGTTTTATTCTCTACTCCTCGTCTTTGCATTGTGATTCATGGCATTGAATCGAATTTGAGAATAACATTATCATTTAACTTGGACTAAAGCAGGAATATAATCTGGGCTTCCTTTTGACATTGAAAAAGAAAAGGAAACAAAAAAAAACAGAAAACACATAAATATACGCAAAGTTATGAAACGAATGCACAAGGCTTTACTCTCACAACTCACAGCACGCATACGATTGCTGAGCAATGGTCTCACATGACCACATCACCCCTTCTGCCTTACCGCTCAAGTAATTAAAAACTACAATAATAAAATAGAAAAAAAAAAAGAAAAAAAAAAGTGAGTTCATGATGCTTAAACTTTAATAATGACCCTTTTGAAGCCAGTAGGCTGTTACTCAGATTCGGTCTCGCTTTTGTTCCTACCGGTAGGGTGCGTAGATGACCCTACATCCTAAACCCTAAACCCTAAACCCCAAAACCCCAAACCCCAGAAATCAAACTTAAACCCTTTGCCCTAAACCCTAGACCTGCTTGAAATTCAAAAATTACCCTTTCCAACCCAGTAGGCTGTTACACAGATTCGGTCTGGCTTTCGTTCCTCAGTTACGTAGCTGACTCTACACCCCAGACCCTAAACCCTAAACTCTGAAGACTAAGCCCCAAACCCTAAACCCCAAACCCCAAAAACTAAAGTCAAACCCTAGGCCCTAAACCCTAGACCTGCCTGAAATTTTAAAGTTACCCTTTCGAAGCCAGTAGGCTGTTACTCAGATTCGGTCCGGCTTTTGTTCCCAGGGTACATAGCTGACCTTACACCCCATACCCCAAAACCTCAAACCTAAACTTTAAACACCAAACCCTAAAACCTAACCCTCAACCCTAAACCCTACACCTGCCTGAAATTTAAAAGCTACCCTTTCGAAGCCACTAGGCTGTTACTCAGATTCGGTTCGGCTTTTGTTCCTAGGGTACGTAGCTGACCCTACACCCCATACCCCAAAACCTAAAACCTAAACTTTAAACACCAAACCCTAAACCGTAACCCTAAACCCTAACCCTAAACCCTAAACCCTAAACCCTAGAACTGCCTGAAACTCTAGGTCCTAAACCCTGGACCCGATGGGAAGTTGTACTCCGTCAGCAAACAGATAATGTTTGATTGACAAGACAAGGAAAAAAATTGTCACCGCCTTCCGCTCGTCTGTTAAACGACTACCGTCTTCACCCGAATAGACGCCCATCAATTATGGCCGTATCTGGACTGAAAGTCGCATCAAATACAGCTATAATGACCGGGCATTCTATTCGGGTGAAGACAGTAGTTCACATGAGCCCAACCTAATGAAGCTGCCTTCTAAGGCTCGTGAGCCTGCAATTCCGCTTTTTCAAAGTAGCCTGCCGCTTTCGCTATCGACCCAGGCCCAAATCCAAGTGCTCTTCCCGCGTATACGGGGAAGAGCATTACATAGGTTCATTTGAACTCGTGGTTTAAAATGCAGAATACAATGTGTTTTGGATCTTTTGATTTAAACATCACTACATCTCAGCCTACACCCAACCCTGGTGTCTTTAGCTGAAGATACCGCCCTCCCCTCTCCCCTCCGGCCCGACCACCCCCCCACACACACTGAAAAGAAATCGAGCCTGTTATCGCTCTTGTGAACTGGTGAGTTTTCTCCCAAAAGGCAGATTGTACAGGGTGAGTTTAAGAACTTACAAATTAATTCAACAGAAGAAAAGAAAGGAAAGAAACGAACGGAAAGAACAAGAAAAAGGCAGGAAAAATGGACTCGACCCAGTAGAGTATATCTTAGGAACAAGAAAAAGGCAGAAAAAATGGACTTGACCCAGCTTGAGTAGTGGTGCTTCCTACCTTGAGATCGATTTCAAGGCTGTCGAGAGCGACCGCCCGCATCTCGTCAGCAGGCAATTTCCACCACTCCCGAAATGGAAAGTATCCGCCTTTCCCTTCTCCCAAACCAGATGCGGAAACTGCAGTACCCCCAGTTCCCGGTGCCACTCCCTCGCCCACCTGTTCCTCATTGCTGGTGTCATGCAACTCAAGTGGGGTGGTGAGGCTCTCCGCCCGACTCTCGCTGCTCCCGTCTTCTTCCCCAATCTGAGATTTATCCGCGCTCTTATCAGCGACTTTATCGTCACCCGTCAATTGCTGACCTGTCATCGCCCCTGGCTGATCACCCTGCCAGCTCACCTTCTCCCGAACCGACTTCACCGTTCCTCGCAAGCCTTCAAGAAACTTCTTTTGGCGCAGCAGCCCATCGGATCCAGGTCCCAACCGTGGTCTCGTACCAGATCTAGATCCGAACGCCACTGTAGATAGGTCGGCGGATTGCTTACTTCGACGGCGGGTAAATCCCGATGGCCGAAAATGTACAACACGCAACACAGTAGGCTTGATCCCGAAACCATTTTTGTTGAATCTAACAGCACCAGGCTTGGCGAATTTCGATCCTTGTTGCTTCAACAGCATGCTGATCTCATTATCGGCTTGCCGAATGCTCTTCCTGAATTTACTTACGAGGGACAATCGTCTGTGACCACTTAGACGTTGTGCCCACCCAGGTAGTGTCTCCTTTGGGGGTTGATCCCCTCCTCCTCCATCCACTAGCCCTTGACCGCTCGCCGCTGACACAACCCCTGCTGCCGCGGTTTCCCCTTGAATGCTACCACTACCCCTGTTCCCACCTCTATTCAAGCTACCCTGGTTGCTGCGGGGGGCATCTGTCCTCGGCGTCTGTTCATTAGATTGCTTTCTGCCACTAGGAGGCTGCGAACGGGAGAAGGGTTCCTCTGGAACACTACTACTGCCCCTGTTCCCACCTCTACTGAAGCTACCCTGGTTGCTATGGGGGACATCTGTCCTCGATGTCGGTGCCAATTCATTAGATCGCTTTCTGCCACTAGGAGGCTGCGAATGGGAGGCGGCAGCTGCTGATGCGCCTTTGTCATACTCCCTCTCCCGGATGGGCGGGAGCTTGGGGAGCTCCAAGCTCCCCAGTCTATTCCGCGACATCTCCACCGCTGAGTTTTGCTATGTCATCAGACTCTCAACACACCCCCTTCCTTCCCTTGCTCTTCCGCCATGCCGGTAGCTTCTTCTTTCCACAACCACCACCACCTATCACAGGGAAAGTCTAAATCGAAAACATAACTTACACCTCATTCCTCAGTGGCCGGGCGCTTCCTAACCAAAACGACTGGCGGTGCCAGCCAAAACAAAAGAAAAAAAGTCAAGATGGCACGTCGGCAAAGCTTGGCGCGCAGAACTCTACTCCTCCTCAGCCAAAAAAGGCATGGAGGTAGTAGTGGTCGTTTAACGCAACGAGAACAGATGTGCGAGTGAGGAGCGAAGGGATCGAGGAGTATTGTCGTTAGTCCCACATGATAAAGTACACTACTAGATATACTTAGAAGTCCTACTTGTAGCTGTCCACATTTCCTCCGGTCTGTTTCTATCTGCAGCAACAGCATTACGTCCTCTTACGTATTCTCCTTCACCAAGTTCTCTTAATACTTACTCTCCTTCTCCCATTATCCTTCTTGTCCTCCTTTCTGCCCTCCTTCTGCTTCTTCACATAGCACATTTTGTTCAGCCACCGTCTCCTCCCGTTCGTTGACCTCTGTGCTGATCCTGCTCTTTCCTCCTAGTACTCCACCCCCCTCGTTCCCCTACTCCTCTCTTTCTCTTTCTGCCCCTTTTTCTTCTCCCACTTCTCTCTTTCTCCCCTTGCTCCTTTTTCTTCTCCGAGTTCTCCCTCTTCTCCTTCCTTCTTATTCTCCCTCTTGCCTTTCGCCTTCCTTCCTGTGACACATTGACGTCCCCTCTTTCTCCTGTTTCCTATCTGTGGTCAACATATTATGCTAACCTCCTCTGCTCTCCCATCCCTTCTCCCTATCTCCTCCCTCCTTTTCTCCTCCCACTTCTTCTACTTCTTCTACTTCTTCTACTTCTTCTTTGTCACCGCACCCTCCTTCATGCCACATGTCAGTCATTGAGTACTATTCATGCAGCTTGTGGAGGGGCTGCCTTTATGACAAGATGATGGATGACCCTGTGTTGTACTGTACTCAGGGCATACTCACACTAGGGATTTTTTACTCACTCATGGACGTAATCACGGTCAGGTGCATCCAGATCTGGCCATGGATGCGGTCAGATCCGTTTAAGATAGAGCTAGTGTGACTACTCTTCATGTAGCAGCTTGTGGAGGGGCTGCCTTTATGACAATATGATGGATGGTCCTGTGTTCTACTCACTCAGGGCATACTCACATTAGGACTTTTTTACTCACTTACGGATGTAGCCACGGTCAGATGCATCCAGATCCGGCCGTGAATGCAGTCAGATACATTCAAGATAGAGCCAGTGTGAGTAACCCTCAGAGGAGAGGAGTTAGCAATTGTGGCTGTGCATGCCTCGATACAACCAGCACTTAAGCCTTCTTCCCCCGAATAGAACGTATGGTCATTATGCCAGCATTTGGGGCAACTTTCAGTCCAGATACAGCAATAGTGACTGTACGTTCTATTCGGGGGAAGACGGTAGTCATAATGGTACCCCCCAAGCACATGGAACCCCTTGGGACATATGTACAACCTCAAAACACTGCGCTACCGTGGGCACTCATCCTGGGACCCAGAGCTGGGACAGCTATGGGTCCAGGTGCTAAGAATGCAAATGCTGGGACAGCTGTGGGTCCAGACTCATGGCCCCCAAAGTTAAGACAGTTATGGGTCAAAATTTCCTATGTGTGTGTGGAGTGAAAAAAACAAAACAAAACAAAACAAAACAAAAAAAATCCTATATGCTTGGACAGGATAAAGAGATTAAAGAGCTCCAAGTACCACATATCTTCTCCCTTCTCTGTGCACATAATAAAGAATATAAAAGCTTACAACACTGGCTGCACTATTGTGAGATAAACCCACTTCAACTCATCTCTACTCTCCTTCCCTCTTCTCCTCTAGTCCCCCTCTACCTGTGGACTAGACTTGCGCTTCATAAAAGCACATGCAACCCAACCTGCAACACCACAGGAGCAACAATATTCAATGCACAATCAATTTCCAAAATTCCAATTTTCAGGCTTCATTCATTTCCAGGTTGAGATTCTTCAGAACAAGGGTTTCATCAGAATTGAAAAACCTTTTCATATATATATATGGGGAGTCAAAAGAAGAATGAGTAAAATGAATGGTTTCACTGTGCCCTTCATGTTTGTCTGTTTTTTTTTTTTTTTTTTTTTTTTTTTTTTTTTTTTTTTTTTTTTTTTTTTTGCCATTTGTTTCGCAAATTGCGCTCTTTTAGTTCATAGTTATGTGACAATATATATATATATATACATATAAGAGCACTTTTTGGGAACAAGAAAGTGTTATGAATCTCATGACACTGTTTAATTAAGTCATCCACCTTCTCCAGATAAGAGAGCACTTTTTGGGAATAAGCAGTAGTTTGCCTGCCAGCAGATAAGCCCTCCAAGACTCCAAGTTCCTTTTTTTTTCTCTTTTTGGAAAGATGGCTTTCTTACAACAGCCCCAAAGATGAGGGCAAACTACTGCCCATTCTCTTTTTTCTTTTTTCTTTTTTTTCCCCCCAACGACTTGCTCATTCTTGGGAGGGCCTAATGAGGAACATTCAGAACTGTCATGTTGACATCAGCAAGAAACTTTGCAGCTTCTCCCTCTTCACTAACAAGGGCAAGTGATAAGCAAAGGTGCAATCAGACTCGTTCTCATTCACACTTTTCATGCATGTAAACAGCAGCGCAGCAAACTGGCGACATGCGCCCACTCAAAACTCAGAGATATGACATCCAGATACGAGTTCACTTTCAACCGGCTATGGCGACTCAGCGCCCAAACAACTCACTGTTCACACACACCGGATCACCCTGGATATCCCACGCACGTCACTCCAAGCACTCCCACATACACACACACTACACACTAAGCTACAGCTATGGCAGGTATGGCTGCCTCTACCCTATCGCTATACTAAGCTCCTTCTCTCTCGCCCACTGCGTCCTCCGGCTCACTGCAGACCTCCTTGCACAAGTCGCTGTGGCAGCGCTTCCGAATGGCTCACGCAGGAATGAATGAAAGGCTGGGCGTTGCCTCTTGATTTATACTTCGGAAACTCTTTGGTCTGCCCCTTGCCATTCGCCCATGGTGCTCACAGTCCCCCGTGGTACTTGCTGGACCGGACTGGGACTGACTGGACCTTACCGCCGACTGATTGTGGACTCACTGCGATCCTACCGAGGTTGGACTGCGATTACACTGCAGTTTAGTCCACCACTTGACTCGCCACTTGACCACTTGCCCACTTGCTGACCTTCTAGAAGGACTACAGCTATACTTCTGGAACTCGCTAAGACTTCTACTCTATAGATCTACAGATCGAACCCCTGCTGCCTATGGACCTATGACAGACCTACCAACTGTCTACGAATACACAGGTCACAGGTTCAACTCTCGGGGATTACACAGATACTGTACATGGGTAGGGTGAGGTCTAGGGATCGAGCCCTGGGATCTGCGTCTGGTACTGCAAAGAGGTGAAAACGGTTTCAAAGGGGTGGTTTACTTTCCTAACAAGGAAAGTGATGAGTAAAAACATCAGCCTGACGTCACTAACAAGGGCAAGCGATAGGGCTGGTTAACTTTCCTAACAAGGAAAGTGATGAGTAAAAACATCAGCCTGACGAGGGAAAGCTAACACAAGGTCATGGTGAGGTTCCACCTCCCTGTACAAAAGAAGGGGGGTGGGGGGAAAAAAAAAACTTTCAATTTTGACATCTATCTAGGTTAGCACGATCTAAAGCCAGAAGAGTCCAGCTAATAAGTGGGCATCTCACCCCTGGGAGGAGGTCTCACTAGCAAAAACGACAATCGGATTAAGTGCCTGAATCTGGACGTGTTTTAAGCAGGGATGCAGGAAAGCAGATCAATCACTATTTTCTGCATCTCTCGTCAATCACGTCCCGATTCAGGCGTTCAATCCAATCTTCCTTGCTACTGGCATCTCACGCCTGGACGCCTTGTTGCAAGCTAAGAGAGGAAGGTGAGAGAAAAAGATCCCTTTGCAAGTTTGCACCAAAAAAAAAAAAAAAAAAAACCAGAAAAAGGAAAAAAAGATTATCATCATATATTGTCCACTCCGGATTCTACTTGCTAGGTACCCAAATATCGCGTGGGCAGGTAATGCATGACATACCATATCGACACATCCTGTGTTCTCCAGGGATACCAGATGGTATTGATTCTGAACGTGTGGCCATAGCCGCACTTGCCATACGTATGTATGTAGTTCTTGTACAGTAATTGTCTGTCACGGTAACCAATCAATCCAATCAATCCAATCAATCAATCAATCCAATCAATCAATCAATCCAATCAATCAATCAATCAATCAATCAATCAATCAATCCAATCAATCCAATGCATCCGTAGATTGGTAATGCATGCACCCATAAGGAAACTGTTAAGTAGACTGCGAGAACAGGGATTTTTGACAGGAGAGTTTATAACTTTATAGTAGTTTAAACCCACGGCGGCTCTCGAGAGGTGATTCTTTTTGCTCCACCCCAATTAACCGACCCCCCAATTTTCACCCCCATTTGCAGGAAAGATCCTCCACCAAGCTGACCCCATGCGTCTAATCATTGAACTGACCAGCCCTTATTTTTTTTGGCCCTAATTGACTACTTTCAAAAGAATTGGTGGGGAGCAACAGTCCCAATCCTTTCTTTTTTAAAACCCTACGAAATTTGGTTGGCGGCACGTCCTCACCGGTCTCCTATCGTTCCCACTAGCAGCGTCGAGTTTCCTCCTCAACGCCGGAATCTCGACGTGATTGTGGAGAGGTGCAGTTGAGGAAACTCAGCGCCATTTTCTGCACATCTCCACAAACACGTCCAGATTCAGGCGTTGAGGAGGAAACTCAACGCTGCTAGTGGGACTTGGCCCCTGGATCAGATTTTTTTTTTTTTTTTTTTTTCACGGATCAGATAAGAGATACTACACTTGATCTTAGCCGAAAGGCCGAGGAAGGTATACTGGACCATTTCTCCATTTCTGCGTGTCATCCTTGCGGCAGGGGCAATGCTACCTAGGCAAAAAGAATTTGAGAGATGAACGTAGTGTAGTAAGAAAAAAAAATTAAACTATTTAAAAAAATTAAAAAACAATAAAAAATTTAAAAAAATATAACCTCTTCGTATGGTCCCCATTTTAACGACTGTGATGTCCCCAAGGACGCGATTTTAACTTTTGATTCTGGTATTGGGCCTCGCTGCACTACTCTCGAAATGTGCAAAACGAGAGTGAATCTTCCGCTAGAATATGGAAAGATACACGGCCAGGCCCATTATTTAGAAATCTCGGGCTTTCTTCACCCTTGCAGGCCACTAATGGCTTGTCCCCCCCCTCATCACAATAACCAGGGTGCGTTGTGTTCGGGGTTTAAGCATTGGCTGTACAAGGGCACACTGACACTAGGAGCTTGCTGCACGTATCAGGACGCAGTAGCAGCCAGATTCAGATGCCGAAGCCCTACCGTCTTTCCCCGAACACAACGTGCTCTCATCATGACTGTATTGAACTGGAAACATAGCTACTATACACTCATTCATCAAGGTACGACGTCGTGTTGGGAGGAAGACGGTACAAAAAGTGTGCCCTCAGGATGTCTGGACATCTGCGGGAATGCTCACCTATCCCACCCTTTACACCGAAAAAAATTGAGGAAAAGAGGGGAGTGCGGAAGAGCGGGGGGGGCNGGGGGGGTGGGCGCGGATTCCGATCTATCATCACAGGACAATCACTATCTATTTATTCGACCACCCATTCAGAGCAAAAGGTGGGCTGCACATGGCCCATGTGGCTGAATGGGAGACACATGCAATGTAACTGTTCGCATATTTAAAAGGATGAATCCGACGGATAAAAGTCTGTTCGCGTATAATAAGGTGCTGACTGGCGGGAGACATCGAGTGCCAATATAATGCCGGGAGGGATTGAGTGCCAATATAATGGCGGGAGAGATTGAGTGCCAATGTAATGGCGGGAGAGAATGAGTGCCAATATAATGGCGGGAGAAATTGAGTGCCAATATAATGGCGGGAGAGCGTAAGTGGCGGGAGAACGTGTATGGCGGGAGAGCATGAGTGCCGGGAGAGCATGAGTGGCGGGAGAGAAAGAATGGCGGGAGAGCGTGAGTGGCGGGAGAAAAAGAATGGCGGGAGAGCGGGAATGGCGGGAGAGAAAGAATGGCGGGAGAGCGTGAGTGGCGGGAGAGAAAGAATGGCGGGAGAGAAAAAATGGCGGGAGGTGAGGACGGAGGGAGCGAGTGAGAGAGTGAGTGAGTGAGTGAGAGAGTGAGTGAGCGAGCCACCACGTATATATTTGGACTGGGGATCAGATCTTCAATCAGCTAATAAACGTCCAGTCAACAGCTCAATAAATCCCCCACCAACCTATCAATCCACGTTGATAGACGCACCCATCAGTCGATATTCCCGCCCGGTTCACTTGATTGAGTGTCACTCGATTTTCATCAGTCATCGCTACCCCCCCATCCCTCTAGCCCTCTCTAGGAATTAGGATCGCAGACCAAATGCACACAACTGCAAGTTCGAAGATCAATCCGCCAACCGAGGGGACAGGAAGAAGGAGAGAGGGAGCGATGGGGAGCGATGGGAAATGTAGGGGGGGCGCGCAGAACACGAACGATGGCAGAGAGAGAGAAAAAGAGAGAGGGAGAGAGAGAAAAGGAGAGAGGGAGAGAGAGGGAGAGAGAGAGAGAGAGAGAGAGAGAGAGAGAGGGAGGGAGAGAGAGGGTGAGAGAGGGAGAGAGAGAGAGAGAGAGAGGAGGAGCAGGATGCCAGGGCTACACACAGGGACAAACAGAGACAGGAGAAGCAAGCGAGAGCCCGCGCGCGCGCGAGGAAGAGAGAGAGGCAGAGCAAAAAGAATCGTAAGGCAGGTAGAAGACATGACCTACAGAAACAGAAACACGAGAAACGAGCGTGTGTGACTGCGCGCGCGTGAGAGAGTCAGTCAGTCAGACAGACAGACAGACAGAGACAGAGAGAGAAAGAGAGAGGAGCAGAGACAGGGAGAAAAAGAGAAAGAGAGAGGAACAGAGACAGAGACAGAGACAGAGACAGAGACAGAGACAGAGAGAGTCCAGATTAGTGATACGAGATAGGCAGAGGACTTGGGGAAACAGACAAGGGGAGAGAAAACAACCAGAAAGCCCCCGTGGCAACGGGGGGGAGCGCGGAGTAGCGGGGCCGCATGCTCCCGCTTTCGCTTTTTCTGTAACCCACCGGCGCGCGGGGCGAGACGGGTGGCGGCGCGCGGGGCGAAAGAAATAAAGAGAGCACGCGGCGTCACTATGGCGAGGCGACCCCGAAGAGAGGGAAGGAGTGGACAAGAGGGGAACGGAGCGCAGGCGCGTGCGCTCGGGCCCGCGGGGGAGAGAGAGAGAGAGAGAGAGAGAGAGAGAGAGAGAGAGAGAGAGAGAGAGAGAGAGAGAGAGAGAGTGTTCGTGGCGCGCATGTGCAGCGAGCAAGAGGGCCGAGATGGAAGAAACAGATAAATCGCGAACGTAACGAACAGGATAAGGTACTTGATCTGAGCGATGACGGTACCGGCGCTACGTGGACAGAGCGATCCGCGTGTCCACCAACGATATTGGGGAAGGACATCAACTGTGTCAGAACGGTTCTAGAAATACGACGCAGGTCTAGTGTTCCCCCCAAAACAAAGCCGGTCATCGCAAGCTCTCTCTCTCTCTCTCTCTCACACACACACACACATACACACACGCATAGCCTTTCCACCCCTCACTCGCGTGCTTTTTTCTTCGTCTCCTCTCCCTGACTGAATGAAGTTGTA